AAAAATGCCTTAAGGGGGAAAGGGGGGAAAAGATCTTTGGGAGGAAAAGGGAAATCGTTCTCGGGGGTACGGGGCAATGGGGGGACAGGATCTCAAACGGGAAAGGGGGAAAAAGACTTTGGGAAGAGAAGGGTGGAGATCTTGGGGTGAAAAGGCTTTAGGGGGGAAACGGGGGAAAGGATCTTAAGCGGGAAAGGGGGGAAAAGATCTTAGGGAGGCAAAGGGAGACGAACTCAGGGTGCGAAAAGGCCTTAGGGGGGATAGGGGGGAAAGGATCTCAATAAAGAAAGGTGGGAAAAGCTCTTAGGGAGGAAAAGGGAGAAGATCTCAGGGGGGAAAAGGCCTTAGGGGGGAAAGGGGGGAAAGGATCTCAACAGGGAATGGCGGGAAAACATCTTAGGGAGGAAAGAGGAGGAAAAGGGATATGATCTCAGGGGGGGGAAAAGGCTTGGGGGGGAAGGGGGGGAAAGGATCGAAAAGCGAGAAGATCTCAGGGGGGGAAACGGCCTTAAGATCTCAGGGGGGGAAAGGCCTTAGGGGGGAAAGGGGGAAAGGATCTCAACACGGAACGGGGGCAAATGATCTTAGGGAGGAAAAGGGAGAAGATCTGAAAGGGCCTTCGGGGGGAAGGGGGGGAAAGGATCTCAACAGGGACAGGGAGAAAAGATACTAGGGAGGCAAAGAAGATCTCGAGGGAAAGGGGGAAAGGATCTCAACCAGGGGAAAAGATCTTGGGGAGGACAAGGGAGAAGATCTCAGGGGGGGGAAGGCCTTAGGGGGAAAAGGGGGGAAAGGATCTCAACAGCGAAAGGGGGCAAAGGGATCTTAGGGAGGAAAAGGGAGAAGATCTTGGGGGGGAAAACGCCTTAGGGGGGAAAGGGCGGGAAAGGATCTCAACAAGGAAAGGGGGGAAAAGATCTTAGGAAGGAAAAGGGGGAAGATCGCGGGGGGAAAAAAGGCCTTAGGGGGGAAAGGAGGGAAAGGATCTCAACAGGGAGAGGGGGGAAAACATCGTAGGGAGGAAAAGGGAAAAACTCAGAGGGAGAAAGGGCCTTAGGGGGGAAAGGGGGAATGGATCTCAACAGGGAAAGGAAAGGATGGCAGGGAAAGAAAGATCTTAGGGAGGAAAGGGAGAAGATCTGGGGGCAAAGGCCTTAGGGGGGAAAGGGGAGAAATGATCTCAACAGGGAAAGGGGTGGAAAAGATCTTAGGGAGGAAAGGGAGAAGATCTGGGAGAAAAAAGGCCAACAGGGAAAGGGGGGAAAGATCTAAGGAAGGAAAAGGGAGAAGCTCTCAGGGGGGGGAAAGGCCTGAGGGGGGAAAGGGTGGGAAGGATCTCAACAGGGAAAGGGGGGAAACAATCTTAGGAAGGAAAGGGGGGGGAAGGTCTTAGGGGGGAAAGGGAGAAGATCTGGGAGAAAAGGACTTAGGGGGGAAAGCCCAACAGGGAAAGGGGGAAAAAGATCTTAGGAAGGAAAAGGGAGAAGCTCTCAAGTGGGGAAAGGCCTTGGGAGGGAAAGGGAGGAAAGGATCTCAACAGGGAAAGGGTGGGAAAGATCTTAGGGAGGAAAGGGGGGGAAGATCTTAGGGAGGAAAGGGAGAAGATCTGGGAGAAAAGGACTTGGGGAAGAAAGCCCAACAGGGAAAGGGGGGAAAAGATCTTAGGAAAGGGAGAAGCTCTCAGGGGTGGGAAAGGCCTTAGGGGGGAAAGGATCTCAGCAGGGAAAGGGGGGGGGGGGGAAAGATCTTAGGGAGGAAAGGGAGAAGATTTGGGGACAAAGGCCTTAGGGGGGAAAGGGGAGAAATGATCTCAACAGGGAAAGGGGTGGAAAAGATCTTAGGGAGGAAAGGGAGAAGATCTGGTGAACAAGGAAAGGGGGGAAAGATCTCATGAAGGAAAAGGCAGAAGCTCTCAGGGCTCAACAGGGAAAGGGGGGAAACAATCTTAAGAAGGAAAAGGGGAAACATCTGGAAAGGCCTTAAAGGGAAGGGGGGAAAGGATCTCAACGGGGAAAGGGGGCAAAGGATCTTAAGGAGGAATAGGGAGAAAATCTCAGCGGGGGGAAAGGCCTTAGGAAGGAAAGGAGGGAAAGGATCTCAACAGGGAAAGGGGAGGAAAGATCTCAGTGAGGAAAGGGAGAAGATCCCAGGCAGGGAAAAGGCCTTAGGGGGGAAAGGGGGAAAGGATCTCAACAGGGAAAGGGGGCAAAGGACCTTCGAGAGGAACAGGGAGAAGATCTGAAAAGGCCTTAGGGGGAAAAGGGGGAAAGGAGCTCAACAGGGAAAGGTGGGAGAACATCCTAGAAAGGAAAAGGGAGAAGATCTTGGGGGGAAAGGGGGAAAGGATCTCAACCAAGGGAAAAGATCTTGGGGAAAACAAGGGAGAAGATCTCAGGGGGGGCAAGGCCTTAGGGGGGAAAGGGGGGAAAGGATCTCAACAGGGAAAGGGGGCAAAGGATCTTAGGGAGGAAAAGGGAGAAGATCTCAGGGGGGGAAAGGCCTTAGGGGGGGAAAGGGGGGAAAGGATCTCAACAAGGAAAGGGGGGAAAAGATCTAAGGAAGGAAAAGGGGGAAGATCGCGGGGGGAAAAACGGCCTTAGGGGGGAAAGGAGGGAAAGGATCTCAACAGGGAGAGGGGGGAAAATATCGTAGGGAGGAAAAGGGAAAAACTCAGAGGGAGAAAGGGCCTTAGGGGGGGAAAGGGGGAATGGATCTCAACAGGGAAAGGTGGCAAAAGATCTTAGGGAGGAAAAGGAAGGGAGAAGATCTCAGGGGGGGAAAGGCCTTAGGGGGGAAAGGGGGGAACGGATCTGAGCAGGGAAAGGGGGGGAAAGATCTTAGGGAGGAAAGGGAGAAGATCTTGGGGCAAAGGCCTTAGGGGGGAAAGGGGAGAAATGATCTCAACAGGGAAAGGGGTGGAAAAGATCTTAGGGAGGAAAGGGAGAAGATCTGGGGGAAAAAAGGCCAACAGGGAAAGGGGGGAAAGATCTAAGGAAGGAAAAGGGAGAAGCTCTCAGGGGGGGAAAGGCCTGAGGGGGGAAAAAGTGGGAAGGATCTCAACAGGGAAAGGATGGAAACAATCTTAGGAAGGAAAAGGGAGAAGATCTGGAAAGGCCTTAAAGGGAAATCTTAAGGAGGAATAGGGAGAAGATCTCAGCGGGGGGAAAGGCCGTAGGGGGGAAAGGGGGGAAAGGATTCCAACAGGGAAAGGGGGGGAAAGATCTCAGGGAGGAAAGGGAAAAGATCCCAGGGAGGAAAAGGCCGTAGGGGGGAAAGTGGGGGAAAGGGAGGAAAAGGGAGAAGATCTCAGGGGAGAAAAGGCCTTAGGGGGGAAAGGGGGGAAAGGATCTCAACAGGGAGAGGGGGGAAAACATCTTAGGGAGGAAAAGGGAAAAAAACAGAGGGAGAAAAGGCCTTAGGGCGGAAAGGGGGAATGGATCTCAACAAAGAAAGGGGGGCAAAAATCTCAGAGGGGAAGGGGGCAAGGGGACAATTCCAAAGGGACGCAAATAAGAAAGCAGGCCTGTAATGTCGGCGGCCTGAGCCGGAGGCGTTAAAATATGTTAAACATATATTTTACAGTTCTGCCTCCTACCTCTGGCTGGATTTGCGCGGTCTCCCTGAAGAAACAACCAACCAGAAAGGCAAAAAGGCGGCTCCCAATCTTATCTTCTGAACTGCTGCTGTTGGCAACATATACAAATAAGCACGTGCAGCAGTCCCTCCAAACGCCGTATGCACGGATTTGGGTTTGGAAAAGGGACTTTGTCAATTACAATACCCAAATCTGCAAATATCAGGTACTTGGAGCCTCTGGGGCACGCTGGCTTGTCTCCATTGGCTTCCTCTTACAACACAACTCTGAGAACAGAGCGGTTTCAAACCACCCTGTCGGGTTCAAAAGCAAGCTAGCAGCACAAAGGGCAAGCCAGTTAATATTCAAGCACTCCATGGCTAGCTGCGTTGTGATGCACCACGAAACTAAACCAGCGCGGACATCCGAGCATGAATTTCAACTAGGGACCTTTTGGTGGACAACATTTGCATGAGCGATTTATGCCCACCAACATGTTTGAGGGTGGATACACTCAAATTCATGGCCATGTCGATCCCTCAGCGAAGCATATGTGGTAGCGCAACCAATCGCTCACTACTACTCTATAGCTAGGGAGTATCCAGGGAAACTCTGAGGTACCTATTAGTCAAAAGGGCAATTTGGCCCTGAAAAAGGGATTCTCAGGGAAACCAAAGGGAACCCTTTGCCCGTGGTTTCCCCCGAGAGTTGTTCAAAAAACATCTCTCAGAGGCTGGGAGCATTTTCTCGCACCAAGCCTGGATGCTGCATGTTGGCTCGGCGGGATCTGCACCAAGCTTGGGCCCAAATGAGGCTGCAAAAGGCGCGCCACGGTTCCGCGCAATGCTGGGCTGTGGCTTCCAGCTGTTTTGGAGCCCATGCTAACAGGTGAAATATCATAGCGAAAAGAGCCATGCATTGCTGCGCTTCAATATGAGCCTTCAAGCTATGGAAGTGGATGGGCGGGCCGGTTGAAACACTGCATCCATATGCTGCGCGTGACATGTGTGCTTTCTTCAATCCTTTTGGGTTGCAAGCCAGCTGAGGAAATGGAGCGAGGTATAAAGGTAATCGCGATCGACGGGTCAAGCTAAGCAATAGCGCTTTGCAACCATGCAGCACAGGGTTGTCTCCAACTGGGGAACCCCATCCGACTCCCCCTCCCCAACAAAACAAGTTGGTTGTTCTCCGTGTGGATTCCCCCCTTTAACACCAAACAGCACTCCCTCAACAAAAAGGACACGCTCATCTTCACGCTTGTTTGCTGACATGCTTGGAATGCAATTGCCTGTACCTCGGCGCTGCTCTCCTGCCACGTCGAGCGGGTGCGAACCTCATAGGAAAGCAGCCATTTCAAATATAAACTCCGCTAGGCATTCAAAGTCCAAGCGGAGACCAAAATATACAGGACCCTCATGGATCTTAATCCTGTCTAGCTGCCGTCTCATGCGTCTCTTGCGCATCAAGATCCTTGCAAGTCCAGCTGTGGTTTGACATCTGTACAGATCAACCTGAGGCGCAACCATGGATTCTATCGACGACAAGGGCACAACATTTGTGCCTGCTCACTCACTCAGACCAGCAAGAGCACGTGGCATGTTGCAGATCTGAACCTGGATTGCTCCGCAAATGCTGCTAAAAATGGGCAATGCAGCAGGGTAGATGCCAGACAAGCCACCGCAAGAAGAATGTGGGTCGCCAACACAGTTTCAGCGCCAACTCACTGCTGCTTGGTTCAACGGCCAATGAAACGGACACCCCCAACGTCTGCGGCCGGTGGGACGTTGTCCAAAGTGAGGGAAAGGGGTGGGGAACCTAGTCCTAATGTGGCACCGACAGTCCAAGTACCGGCATCTTGCCAACCTTTCGAAATCCTCAAAAACAGCTTCTCGAAAGAATGCACAGACTGTGACATTGTGCACACACCAGCTGCGTCACAGGGTCAAAAGCCACTGATACCTGGAAAGCCATTTCATTTCAACAATGAGCAAAACGACACCCAGCGACGCCTCGCTGACCCAATCGCCCGACCCATGCCTTCGAGCCCTTCAAACCCCTTCAGAACCTCGCCAACCTTCTCGGCTGGGTTTTTAAACTTGCCCAAACCAAGCCTTCACTCGCACCCTCGTTCAAGCATGAATCCAATGGATCGGATATCCAATATCGACTGCCCGGGATGGGAGCCGCTGTTAAAGCCGTTCCCCCGGAATCCGAAGGCCAAAGGCCGAGGGCCGAAGGCCGGGCAGCGCAGCCCTGCCAGGAGCTGCTGTGCTGCCGCACCTTCTTCTTGCCGCTGGCCATGAGCCTCGCAAGGACGGGATCGATGGTGGATCGAAATCCATGAGGTTCCCTAATGACCAGAACCAAATTGAAACCGGTGGCATCTGGTGCTGACAAGAAGGACACCTATGGTTCGAACGCTTTGGGAACAAACCGCGGGTTCAGAAAACATAATCTAGACCCTACTGCCAACTTGGAGCTTTGGGGTCAAGATCTGTCCCTCTGAAACAACAGGCAGCTTTTTGTTCCTGTACACGAATCGTTTGGCCATGCTGCAAAAGCCCCACTGCATTGACCCGAACTACTGTGGATGGTCAAAATTACGCACAAGTTGGTAGATGGTTCATCCCATGATTCATAGGGTGCTGCATTGCCCCCAATCATTGTTTGCAGAGATGAGCCAAACATGTTTGGGTTGTTGTCAATATGCTAATATGCTGAGTCAGTCTGATAGCAAGCAGGCTGAGCTGTGGCTTCGATGTGGGCGATTGCTTTTTGTGTCGCTCATTGCTTTTGGGCTGCGCTGAATTCAAATAATAGCTTAAGCGGTAAAGCTTGCCGAGTGGGAACAAGCTTGAGATGATCTTCAGAGTTGTCGATACGAGCACTTCCCTCGGAACATCTATTGTTGCAAAAGATAGTCGCCCAACAAGTTACGACCCAGGGACCAAATTGTCTGGCGCCGTCCTCAGACACATGACGCCGCGTGATCAACGATCGAACCAACACTGATGCTGTTGCGACGCCGCATGATGACGTGGTATATTCATGTGCTTTTGCGTGTTCGTACGGCTTTGTCCTCGTGCATCTGCTTGTGAGTCTGCGCGTTTGCAGCGTCTGCAAGCTGTTTCGCAAGTCTGCGTGCGACTTGATGCGCTGTTGTGCGTGTATTTATGCGTCCTAACGTCTTTCTAGGTTCGGTTGGATCTAAGGTGTGGGTTTGGTTTAAGTAGTAATGATGCGCCTAACGGTTTGTTTCGGGTTAGGATGCAGCTGTCAAAGAATAGATACAAATTGATTACCGCCCTCTTTAAGAAGCATTGAAGTTGAAGGAAGGCCCCTGGTTTTCCCTGGCACCTTCTAATATTGTCCGACCCAGGACCATGTGGGTCTCCTTGGGTGGCTGGTGTCCATTAGCTTTCCATAGTCTAATCTCACTATCTCGTGAACACAAAGTTCATGTCAGGAATTGTATCAGGGCTTCCTACCAGGGGCGCATACCGAGTGGCTTGGAGGGCAGCATGCAGATCACGTTGTGCATGGCGCCCACACAAACCCCGGAGTAGCCCCGCATGGCGGTATGCACCGCGTCGTTGGCCAGGCGCACGCAGTAGATGTGGTCATTTGGAATGATGGGCACAGATCCTGGGCTCAACGATGGCTGCGACAAAGCCCCAGACAAACTGTTGTCCAACTTTGTGCTTGCTTTTAGTTTAGTATGTCCCAACAAGTCGAAACGTTGGCTTTCGGCTCAAAAGGAACATGGTTGCATGCGAATATGCTGTGCACCAACACGATATCCAACTGGGTCCCTTCAAGAGCAAGCTCATCTTTCAGGTACCCCCCCAGGTCCTATGATAGTGATGGAAGGGAGACTATATAAAGGGAAACCTGAAGCAAACCAACTAGATTCAAGGATACCTGGTTTATAGAAATAATTACCCGTCCCATCGCTTGATGTCATGACCAGAAACGCACTGTAAAGAAATACTCCTGCCCCTGCGCATTCAACACGTGCCGCACATTGTAGACATGCACTGAACATCATCATGCGCTTTGAGTAGTTCAGCAGGGTTCTGGTGAGGGAAATCCTAGACTGCGGTGCATTGACCCCAGATCAGAGCCTGAGGGAAGCGTCTGAGCTTTCAGTAGCCAAGGCGCGGATGATGTAGGAAGGATCAATGTAGAAGGTGCGCCCGCCGGATGGCTTCCTTGCAGAAATATTAGGATCCTGCAAATTAACCCCCCTCCCCCCGCCATTTGTGTGAATTGGGGTGGTGGACATGTCCTCCCCAAATTCACAATAGGCCGTCAGCAAATGTCAGTGATTGTCAGCTGCTCAGGTCAGGAGTCAGGCTTGAGGAATCAGGCTGAAACGGGATCCAAAAAACTGGCGAAAAGCCTTCTTTGGGTTAAAGTTTGGCTCAGATTCAAATGCGCATTCAGCGTATCCCGCAAGTGGACCCCGATGTCGCCGTAGACGGTGTGCCCTGTGGCATCCTGGCACTTTTGACCGATGTGGGACTCTCTCTACCATTAAAAAAAGAAAACACCCACTCCTACAAACTCTTTGGCAAACTACATCAAGACAGAATTGCGGACAACTTCAATTGCCAAGCAGACACAGCATGTGTTTGACGGTGGGCACACAAAGTTTAAGAAATTGACAAAGGGTACTGTCAAGGCCAGTCTTCCGCCCTGAGGCACTCGCATTCCATCGGGACCGACATACACATTCACCCTGAGCCAATACGGGGTCTTGCTCTGTGAAGCAAATCAGAAGTGGAGACATCAAGGCCCAAGTGTTCTGTTCTCATCATCGATGTTGGCCCTGGGTTCAAGACCAAAGCTGCATTCGCTCGAACAACTGAAGCCAGCGCGCTGGCTGTGTACGGGACAAGCTCGTGACTTGAAGTGGCAACACGGGACAACCGTTCCTTCTCATTGATTTCGTGCTCAAAGAACACTAGGGCTCAAATGGTGTCCATCGCAGGTGCAAATTGTGTTGAGTTGCGCTCGGAAGGTCCCACTGATTTCGGCTGGCAATGGCCAAATGGGTTCCAAGAAGCTATGGTTCTAGTCTCCGAAATGTCGGCGTTTAGCTTCCAGGGTTCCACCGCTCCTAGCTTTGTCGGCTTCCAGGTTCAAAGCCGTTCTCGGCGAAATGTTGGACATACCAGCAACTCCCAACAACTTTGTGTTGGAAATCACTGGGGGTGTTGGACATGGGGAAAAACAGTCGGAAGATCTCCACCCTCGACCAAAACCAGCGCCTTCTTGCCCGTGGACACCATCTCCTGGCCAGCGCCCTCCGCCACTGCGATGACCATGTACCCCCTGGCAGCCAGGACCGCATCCACGTGAGCCAGCACGTCCTGATGGTGGGCGATGCAACTAAATACTGGAGGTACCCGCTACCCTTTCCGGCTTGGCTCCATATTGTTCAAACAACCCCCTTGTCCCTCCCTGTTGAAGGGGCCAGGGCTTGGTTGTTTCAATCATTCGTTTGGCCTGCAGTCGGCGCCAAATGTCAACCTCTGCGGCTGCTCCAAAGAGTTTGGGCAATCCAATTGCTCAATCTATCCTTCCCGCAACAAAAGAAAAAAAACACTAACCCGAGAAAAGGAAGAATGTTTGACTTTGATCTGCCCAAGTTGTTGTTTGAGGCATCTCAAATAGAGAGTCCGTTGGTGGCCCACGCTTTGGGACAAGTCAATCGACAGTTTCCATGTGCAATATCAAGGCTTAAGAAACTTGACTGACCTGATATGATAGGTCACTTCTTGGGCACTGCAATCGCTGCAAGGCTGAGCTATCCAAAATGTGCAGGCTGAAGTTGTGGCTAGCTCACCCTGGGCTGCTCAGGTGCTTGCCAAAACCAAGCTATTGTTGGCATAGCTTGGAAGTCTCTGTTGACATGTTTTCACGTCTCCAACGGCCTGTGTGCCTTCCTGCAGTAGACAAACCCATCACGCCTTCAAGTCCACCGTGACCTCGGGGATCATGCACAGGTCCACCACATCCGCCGCCGTGGCCGCATGCATCGCCACGAAGCCGCTGTCTCGGCCCATGAGCTTCACAATGCCCACGCCTGGCGGGTTGAGCTCGAGCGTCTAACAAAAATATGGTCAGACCCTCTTTGATAATTTTTAACCTGAACGTATAGCATGTTTCATAAGGAAACCCAGGTTGGCTCATCCCCTCTACGTACCTGAAAGGGGAGGGAAGGGGGCGCAATTCTGTTTGCAAGTCTTCGACGACTCTACAATCAAATGAGCTGGCCATACACTAGGCAGGTACAAGCAAGCAAGCAAGCCAGCAAGCAAGCAAGCCAGCCAGCCAGCCAGCCAAGCAAGCAGGCAGATAGGCAAGAAGCAAGAAAGCAAGCCTGTAAGCTCCTAAAACAAGAACCAGAAACAGAAACACAAACACGCCCCCACACACAAAACAAAAACGACTTACAAGCAAAGCATGCTAAACATACCACCAACCAACCAACCAAACAACCAACCAACCAACCAACCAACCAACCAACCAACCAACTAACTAACCAACACACCAACCAGCCAGCCGGCCAGCCAGCCAGCCAGCCAACCAGCCAACCAACCTACCAAAAGCAACGAAACAAACCAGGGCAAACCACGGCAAACAAAGACACAAGCACACACAAGCACACACAAACAAACACACAAGCACGCACAAACACAAAAACAAAGAAACAAAGAAACAAACAAACAAACAAACAAACAAACAAACAAGCACATACACACATTAAATACATATGCATACACACAGACAGACAGAAGACAAATAGACTGGCAAGCACGCAGGCAGGCAGACCAACAAACAACAGAGAGAAAACCAAAAAAAGGGGGCCACACACACCAAACCAAAACAAACGAACAAAATCGAACAAAGAAGCAACAAATTGTAATCACACAAACACACGCACCCGCCCACCCACGAACGCAAGCACAAACAAAAACATCCACGCAAACACGGAGACCGGCACAGTCATAGAAACAAACCCAAGCAAGGAACAGCTACTCATTTGCAGCACCTGCCAAAGGACATGTCGGTGGGTTGGAAGCAAACACCTTTTGCCTAGCCCGGACCTGAGTGGGACCTGAGGCCCAAAAGTGCAGCAAGCTCAAGGATGCACTACGACACGGTCGTTAGCGCACTTCAAGATGGGAGTTGGTGGCCCAAGAACGGGCTAGGATCCAGTCAAAGCGAAAATCCTTCCATGGCACGGCGCCACAAGGTCCTTGCTTCTGGCCCGCAACACCTCTCCCAACCTTTCAACAAAACTGGCACTAACACGCAAGAAGTGAAGCTTCTTACTGCTAGATTCCTATATTGGCCTCCCTTTCCACAGCACCACGAGGCTAGCGAGCAAAGTTCACCCCGTGGCATCCCTGCACTGGCAAAGATAGTAGATTGGTGCCTGTATCCAAGTCATAGTAAATATCCACCGCTGCTCCCATCAGTGAGCCCCAGAGTTGAACCCTGACCTCCCCGATTCGCCTCGGTTGCAGCTGCTGGCCTCAACCCATGCGTTGCGGATCACCTGGCGGATGAATCAGCCCGTGTTTCATGGGTTTGGAAAGTATCTGCGTTTCTGACTAGAAAATGGCCAAAATCTGAAGTAAGGTGAAGACCCTACATCAATGTCAGCTCCACGTCCCACCTTTTTTACACCGAACCACAAAGTGTTGCGCACTTGCGGAATGGGATGACTGCGGAGCGGCTTGTGCCGCGTTAGGGTTTATTGCAAAGTCACTAGGATATGCAAAGTACAGAACCAACGGTGGACAATCGAGATTGACAGATCAAAACTGCAATGACAGCCTCAATCTTGACCCAAGCCAAACAGCTTTTCCAACACCTACCCAACCAACCTTTCACCAACCTTTCACCAACCTTTCACCAACCTTTCACCAACCGTTTGCCAACCTTTCACAAAACTTTGACTAAGTACCTGAATCCCTAAAACCAAAGGAAACCGACCGTGGTTCCTTCTGCGGCTTCTTTCAAAGGCTCTCAAAGGCACTGGGCCACTCCCCCAGCAAATGCGCCGGCGCCTGGGAGGCGGCGTCCACCGCCGTCTCGAAGCCAAAGGTCCGGTCGAAGAGCACCACGTCCTCAGGCTTATGACATTTCGAGTCACCGGGCAATCCAAGGGTTGTATTCTGCGGGGTGTAAATCATGAACAAATGAACATGGGTACCGTAAAATCAAACTAAGTCACCAGATTTGGAAGCAGACATCAAAACTTCACTACGCAAGGTCGGCAGCAAGTATACTTGCAGCACAAATCTAGGTCGAGACAGCCAAAAACTTCGCCCCCGAAACCCGGGGTGCGTCCATTCGGGCCCCGGCGTTGTCGATGGACTTGGGGATGCCCACGATGCTCACCTTCAAGTTCCGCTTCCTTGCCTCCTCAAAGAGCAGGTTCCCAGCGAACTGGGTACCGTCGCCCCCCACCAGGAACAACACGTTGATGCCTTGGCCGAGATCAAACAAACAGCCGGACCCACCGGGAACCAACATGAACACGGCCCCCAAAAACAAAGCAACACTGGGAACTTCATGGAACAAGGTTGCCTATGATTAACTTTTGTGAGCATTAACCACTGTTTGCTCATCGCGGGCATCCTTTCCCTGCGCTTCGGCTAGAAGTCCATCTAGCCACATGAAAGGCAATGCAAGCGATACCACAATCCATGTCTCAGCCGCCCACTTCTTTGTGCTAGTCTCTGCTACTCGCATAGTGGTGGACACCCCATTCCCTTTGGGAGTTGAAACATGTTAGTTTGGAAAGCACTGGCTTCTGTCTGGACTGAGGTAGACAGGTAAACCAGCTGCAACATTGCAGTCCGCCCCGCAAGCCGGCATGACGTGGACTGGGAAATTGTTGAAGCAACAGGCATCTGATTGCCTTCCTGAGCCCAATTTCGAATATAGCTCGGATAAGTCAGGAACACACGGCTCACCACCAGCAAAAGCGCTGATAATTCGAGTGATCACCGCCTTGCTCGTCACAAGCAGATCAAGCAAGCCCAAAGCGCATTCGAATCATGCAAGTGCCCAGCATCAAACATCGCATTGGAAAAGTCTAGGGAACAGCACTTTTGAGGGAATAGATGTCGAAAGAATCACGGGTAAAACTCGCGCACCCTGAACTTGTGCACGTCCCAAGTATTTGAAGGTTGCCTCACACATCCAGGGCTCTGACCCGGACCGAAATTGAAACTGGCTCCAAGGGTCACAAGAGTCGCAACCAACATTAAAAAATGTTAACATCATTTTAGGAAAGGGGCAAACATGTAAGATCCGATCGGTGTGCTTTCGAACAACTAGATGACACCAGCAAATTGTTTCAAACCTCAAACCAGGGCAATCCATCTATGTTTAAGCAAGCTGACCGTTCAAAAGACACCTATTCTCAGCTGTTGTATGCTCGAGCTTCTTTTGGCTTAGGGCCTACCTGGAATCTCCATGACCCTTCAAAAGTGGGGCCATGGCCCTTGCCTTCTGGGTAATGACCCCACGTTTCAACAGTCATGGAGACTCCAGGTAGAAAGTATACCGGGTCATAGTTTACCACGAAACCTAATTCCATGATGATTATTGGACCCTTTTTGCAACCTTAGCCCCCTTACATCACATGTTAACTTGTCCGAAATCTGGAATACACCCAACTCTTTTCAGATCCTGTTTCCTCGGTTTTCTCCGTAACATGGAGGAGACTTCAACTCAAACCCACCATCCATTCGGCCAACGGAGGGCTCAAGCTGAGCCAGCGGCCCTGCTTCGCCAGGTTGTCGCAGATCTTCGGCGCGTCGAAGCCGCCCCTGTTTGATGCAAGCCACGCAGCCATGGGGCCATGCCACGGATCGTTTTCCAATGGAATGACTTGAATTGGTGGCCAAGACCATTCTTATATCTAATTATTCAGGCCCGTGTGGCCGAAGCTGCCCAGATCTCAGGAGCTTTGCATGCGCTTTGCGCGTTGCGCCCGCAACCGGCCTTGCAGTTGTTGGGTCCGCGCAGTTGTCTTTGGCCACACAGTCAACAGCAAACATGCAACTGTCGAATATTCGCGTCAACGCACGTGGACACACATTCGGCAGCACTCGCACGACAGCAGGGAGTCTTCCGCTGGCTGTGGAGAAGGATTTTTGGTGCCGTCACCAAAGCGCAGTGGCTTGCAAGATTGGCTAATGTGAAATGATGCTGCTGCATTTATCATTTTCGGAGGTTGGGAAGACATCGTAATTCCACCTATCTGACTTTGCTGTTTCGTCAAGGCGCCGGTGCTTAGTACGGGTCCCGGCTGCGCCAGAGGCCTCACAACGTCGGAACCTTATAGTATATGCCCTTTATGCAGAGGCTCTGTAGTCGCTGCATGTGCCATTTGACGCAAAAGGGGTAGGGTATTGCGGGTTGGGGGCAGTGGAAGCCATCTCAGAGGCTTATAGCTGTGTACCCAAGGCGGAACAAAAGCTCAGCCAGGTGTTCTCCAACAAATTATGTAGTCAAGTCTTCGCTAACTTTGCTGTTTGCAATGTGGTCCAACTCGAAATGGAGATGGTAGGGTGACTTCCTGCTTGTGAAGCTGGCCACAACAACTTGGCTCGGTGCCTCTGTCCTTTTGGACTCCAACGGCAAACAACCCAAATCTTCACTCACCACTGGGCCCCTCTGCTTGACATCCTAAAGAAACACTACATTACATGCTTTTAGCGTCCAAATGCTGGTCAAAAAAGGGGAGGCCACCGCCCAATACTGCTTTTGAAATCCCCGAACTGCTGCAACGGACCTGCCGACTGGGAGCCTCCCCGCCTGGCCGCCTTAATGATGCTGCCTCCCTTCATGTGGATATCTCGGACCAGTTCCTGCGCTGGATGTGTGCGTCCAAGGTGCGGGGAGGCGGGGGTCAAAGCAGGAGACCCCTCAAATGGAGTTCCTGTTGAATTCCCTTTCAAGCCCAAAAAAAAACTCCGGGCAATGGCTGTCGGAGAAACGCCAAAGTTCGGCCAGAATCTAGGCACATCCCCAATGGGGTTGCAATGTCCAGCGCGAAGAAAATGGCATTGAAGCACTGGCCCACTCTGATATTGGAAGCTCATGCTGGTCCCTCTGTTAATCTTAAGCAAAGCCTTAGAGCCGCATAGTACGATAACAAAGTGTCACAGTAGTCACGGCACAGAAATAGGCACACGCTTGCGAATCCCCACGCGGAACCCTGATAGGGCTCACGTCAAGGGGAGCACACTCATACAGAACCCGCATTCACAAAGCCACGTGCACAGGAGTGATAGCGACGTTGGCGATACAGATGTTGCAGGGAGCACACTCATAGGGAACGCCCAATAACAAGAATCCTCGCAGCGCAATAAGCATCGTCACAGGAACACGCTCATAGGACAGAACATGGTTCTGGATGAAGAAGTTGATGGCGGGCGCATAGAAAAGCCTAGTGCCAGGTGACAGTCGGCGGGAAACATATAAACTTTAAGCTGAATCCAAAATTTTCTCTGAAGTATGGCAACTTGTGTATACAATCTGAATCTGCGGTGACAGTGGTCTCCAGTTCGGGCAAGTTCTGCTATCAACCAACAAATGGATCATTCACGCCAATAAAATGACCATTGCCAGCCAAGCATGAGCCTTTTACAGCAGCAAAAGACCGGCGTGCGCAACTTGGCTGCAAGCGTGTGGGCGCAAACCCACGCGTCACGAGGGCTTGTGCAACCAAAGCAAGGGTCAAAAGGTGGGATATATGATATGGGCAGCTGACGCACTCCCACCGAAACTGCCCAGGGAAGTGAAGTCAACACCCGCCGGGCCTCCGTGAGGGATATTGGCGGATTCTTGTCCGGGTCGCTGAGGCCATTGTATCCGTTGCTGACACCTGAGCCAGCTGGGAATAATAATTTCGGCAATTTGTGTCCTATGGATACAGAATGGGAGACCCCGCACAGCACCACCACTAATTTGCATTGCTTTCAACGCTTCACCAACCAGCTGCAGAGAATCTTTCGGGAAACAACCTTCATCATAGATGGAAAGCTCGCTACAAATCATGCTCCAACACCGCGTGGCCACGGGCAAAGCCTTGTCAGCTTCGGATATGTTTGGAACTGAGACTGACGCTGTTGACCGCCGAGCCACTCGAATCAGGATTGAACACCATGCTGAGAGATCCCATTTGTCATGGCCAGAAGGGGCAATGGCAAGCAACGGGACTCCTGTCAACGCTGAAAAGTCGGTGCGTGTCTTGGACAGTAGATTCAGTAGATGAGATGATATATTGTAAACATGAAGGCAAACCATGGCTGAATAGTCTTCCAGAATGGGTGGACTGCTAGTGTGTGCGGGCAGTCCAAGGTGCATCGTTCCTGGAACAGCTTTCCGGGGCAGGGTGCTGAGCGAGAAAACAGGAATGGGCTAGTCATCCAAGCGACGATGCTTGGGCTGTTAAAGAGAAACTAAGGGAAGTTTTGCCTATTTGTCCAGAAGCACTCAATAGCCAAGGCACCAAGGATCTCTCGCACGCCGTATTCCTTGGCAGCTGTGGGAGTTGGCTTAGGACTCGCATTCTAACAGACTTGCCACAAGTGTCTCAACATCCCGTGACAAGCTGCCAAGGCAAAAGCCTCCCTCAAAGTGAGACATACCCCCCCAGTCTTGGGTCCTTTTTGGTGGACGCTATGAGTTCTTTCTTGGCCTGGCCCATTTGGGGATAAGCTTTGATTAAGGACCTTTGGTGGACATCACTTACACGGGGATTTTACGTCCACCAACATCCACCAACCATGTTTGAGAGAGGGGAAGTTTGATCAGACTCCGGGCATCATCCTGTTCATGTGCCAGTTCATTTATCCGGGCTCGACGTCGTGAGTTGAACTTTGACAATCTGTATCTCACTCTTGAAAGGATTGTGACAATCAAGCTCGGGAAAGGGTCTTGGGTAGCATGTCCGTCCTGCTCCCTTGTATCTCTATTTGCCCGGACACGATGTTGATATTGGTAGTTACTGTGTAGCATATGCTTGTACGTGTAGTTCCTCTAAGGAATATTCCCCAAGGACGTAGACAGCAGCCAAACATGCGGTTGGCCTTTTGCGGGCATTCAACAACCTATCGTCACAGGACACGGTGACGCATTAGGCTCTCCAAAAACTTTCCAAAAGCAGTGATTACTTCAATTACTTCGCCACCTCGGTCTGCTTCGAAAGGGGGGTTAACATCCAGTAAATCCAATTTATGGGCTGTAGAACCCGCCTTTATAGCCAAATAGAGGCGGCAAGTAGTCTTGCCACATCTCTGTAATACTTGCACATCTAGCTGCGGCCTGGCCACAAGGAATCGGCCTCCCGTGGCAACAAACGAACATCGAACATCCTTCACTCGCTTTCATGCAAATCACAACCCGCTCACCTGGAAGCTCACCCATGATGGTCTTGTCTTGTGGATTCTTCATCTTCTTCTTTTTGAATTTGAGTAATTGGTGCAAATGCATCGACAATCCTCGACCCACATGTGGGAAACTCCAAAATATTGTTTGCTTCTGTTTCATATTTAGTTCCCCCTATAAACATAAACTCCAATCTACTGAATAGGGGGTTTAGCCCAAAAACGCATCCCCTTTTGGCTTCCTTTTGTTACATGGGCTGTTTAGCACCCAGCCCACTTCTTGCGCAGGCTCGTTCCTGAGGCACTTGGTGACCCCTCGGATGATGGAGTTCAGCCCTGGGCACAGGCCACCGCAGGTGACGATGGCTGCCTTGACCTGGCGGCTGGATCTGTGAACCGGGTGGGGACTTTGAGCGTTTCTCAAAATTGGGGCTCCCCTTTTAAGAGAAAACCAGCAGGAAGCCACCCACTTGAAGGGGTCGCCGATTCATTGAGTTTTTCCACGCGCAACATGGACACCATGAAATGAGCTTTAGGGCGTAAACCCCCACCGTCACCCTTCCCCAATCTGGGTTGTTTTACATCAGGGGATCCCTAATCCTGATCCGCAATTTAAGCAAGCATCTGGCGTCAGGATCTTGCGGATTGATTTGAACGACCCAGGCTCTCCTGCAGATTGACATGGGACCTCCCAAATGGAACCTCCAACTAGAAGATGGGTGGCCCGAAAGCATTAGCAGCGGCAGCAAGTCCTCCTAGCAATCCTAGCAAGTTCTCCGCGCAGTTGCGCGTCTGAGCACGTTGTTGGCGCGAGTTCCTCTGAGCAAGTTCTCCAAGCAAGTTCTCTGTGCAAGTTGCTCTGAGCAAGTTGTTGGCGCGAGTTCCTCTGAGCAAGTTCTTCAAGCAAGTTCTCTGTGCAAGTTGCTCTGAGCAAGTTGTCGGCGCGATTTCCTCTGAGCAAGTTCTCCAAGAAAGTTCTCTCAGCAAGTTGCTCTGAACAAGTTTCCTCTATTCGCGAAACGCTTTCGTACTTAAAAGTTGTGATTTTCCAGCCGGAGCAGCGAAAGTTTACTTCGCGTACTACTTTCGTACTTAGAAGTTGCGATTTTCCAGCCGGAGCTGCGAAAGCTTACGTCGCGTGCTACTTTGGTACTGAAAAGTTGCGATTTTCCAGCCAGACTTCGCGTACAACTTTCGTACTTAAAAGTTGCGATTTTCCAGCCGGAGCTGCGAAAGAGTACTTCGCGCTCAAACTTAAAAGTTACGATTTTCCAGCCGGAGCTGCGAAAGTGTACTTCCCGCTCAAAAGTTGCGCCGGAGCTGCGAAAGTTTACTTCGCGTACTAGCTTCGTACTTAAAAGTTGCGATTTTCCAGCCGGAGCTGCGAAAGTGTACTTCGCCTACTACTTTCACACTTAAAAGTTGCGAGGAGCTGCCGCGGACCAGGGGGGAATCGAACCCGCGACCGCGGGATTGCGAAAGCAACTTCAAAAGGCCATTTCGCGAGTAATAAAAGCGCCACAGCGAGAGCGCCTCGACACCCACGATCTCCGCAGAGGGTTCGCCGAGACTAAGACGAATTCGCACGGCGCCACAGCGAGAGCACGTCGACACGCACGATCCCCCCAGAGGGGTTCATCCGCGCACCGCAAAAACGCAAAAAAAACATGCAAAAACTCGAGGTTTTTTTTGCGATTTCTGCTCTGCCCGCGCGACCCTCTGCGGGGATCGGCGTGGTCGAGGTGCAAAAACTCGAGGTTTTTTTTGCGATTTCTGCTCTGCCCGCGCGACCCTCTGCGGGGATCGGCGTGGTCGAGGTGCAAAAACTCGAGGTTTTTTTTTGCGATTTCTGCTCTGCCCGCGCGACCCTCTGCGGGGATCGGCGTGGTCGAGGTGCAAAAACTCGAGGTTTTTTTTTGCGATTTCTGCTCTGCCCGCGCGACCCTCTGCGGGGATCGGCGTGGTCGAGGTGCAAAAACTCGAGGCTTTTTTTTGCGGGGATCTTCTGCTCTGCTCTGCGCGCGAATCCTCCCGGGGATCGAAGAAGGAGGCAAAAACTCGAGGTTTTTTGCAATGTCTGCGGTGCTCGAGGTTTTTGCGCTGTCTGCGTAACCTCTGCGGGGACGGCGTGGTCGAGGACAAGCTCAGTGTTTGCTTTAAGGTGCCAGGATGAACTCTGCGGGGATCGGATGGTCAGGGTGCAGGGCTTTTTTACACTTTCACGCCGATTCCACCGCAGCGCTCGGGCGCAGAGGTCTGCGGGGACGGGGCGTGGTCGAGAGCACCCGAACCCTCGACACGCGATCCCGAGAGGGTCGCAAAAACCCCGATCGCCGATTCAAAGTTCCTGCCAAAGTCCTGCCCCGCGCCTAGAAAGCTAGCACTAACGCCGAAGCTGCAACGCCGAAGCTATGCACTTGGCTCGGTGCACTTGGCTCCATGCACTAGGCTCTACGCACTTGGCTCTACGCACTTGGCTTTACACCGGCTCTGCTCGGCTCTACTATGCTTGGCTCTATGCACTAGGCTCTACGCACTTGGCTCTCACACTTGGCTCGGCTCTATCGGCTCTGTGCACTTGGCTCTATGCACTAGGCTCTACGCACTTGGCTCTACACACTTGGCTCTATGCACTCGGCTCTGTGCACTCGGCTCTGTGCACTCGGCTCTATGCACTTGGCTCTATGCACTCGGCTCTACGCACTTGGCTCTACACACTTGGCTCTATGCACTCGGCTCTGTGCACTCGGCTCTGTGCACTCGGCTCTATGCACTTGGCTCTATGCACTCGGCTCTATGCACTCGGCTCTATGCACTCGGCTCTGTGCACTCGGCTCTATGCACTTGGCTCTATGCACTTGGCTCTATGCACTTGGCTCTATGCACGGCTCTATGCACTTGGCTCCATGCACTTGGCCCTATGTATTTGACTCTGCGAAAGTGACTCTATGCAAGTTGGTCCGAGAGCTCCGCGCGGAAGAACCCTTCGCGATGCTTTCGGGAAAAAGACACCCGCATCCGAAAAGGATATCCTCTAAATGGGAACCCCTCTTTTTGGGATCCATAATAATTTGAGATCACTCAGGACCTTTAAGGCAGGCCTTGACTTTTGACCCTTTGAAGTCGAACCAGCTTGTCTGACTTTTGACCCCGTGACTTTTGACCCTTTTGTCTTCTTTGTTTTCCTCAGGACGGGCACAATTTATTGGGATGGTTCAAACATATGGGCAACAGAAAAGGAAGCCATGCACTGGGGATGGTTCCCACTTGTTACACTCTGCCATGTGCCCCCATCGCTCCAGGGCTGAACGGGCGCCTGACTGGCGTCCCAGAAGATGTGCCGGGCCGCGTTGGCGCGCAAGCACCCCGAGTCTAGCATGGGGTTCGGATGCTCGCACGCACGGGTGGAGTTCTGGATGATGTGCCCCATAACCTGAGGTCGGAGTTCAGAAACACGGATACAAAAAAAAACTCGGCCTGTGAAACTGTCTAATTAACAGCAATTCTGTGGCAACGGTTTAATTCTTCAATTTCAATGTTGTGTTGAAGATCCTGGCAGGGAACACGCGTATCTGCTCGCACCATGTCAAACGGTCCGAATTCCAATGGACCAAGTTAGGCTGACACTTCCAGCCTGCCTCGCTTTGCAAAGCAGACTGGTGCCGTACCAGCCCTGCACAATTGCTGTTCACATGGAACCCTTCTCCACTTCAGCCTTCAAAGTTCTCATTTGAATATTTGCTACTACCACCAAAATCTGCACCAGAAGCTGTTTCGCTTAGGCTCACGCCAAAAGCTGCTTAACAACCCCTACGCCCTCCTGCTCACTGACGAAGCGCTTGCGTCAGTGGTTGGGCATCGGTCACCCGCTTGAGCGCCATCCATTTTCGGGGCTAGTCCATTCGGATCTCACGTCTATTCATCGAATCCTTGGAAAGCATTGGTGTATTGCGTCACAAAGTATCCTGTGGCGCACGGCGCACGCTGTTGATACTGTGGATAGACAAAATCCTGCACCACTTTGAAACCATGGGAAACCAATGTTTGCTGGTAATTTCAGGGGAATCATCATTCCAGGGTTTTCTAGGTGGTGCAGGATGTCGTCCATCCACTGTATTTCTATCAATTTCCTCATTCTGGGTGCACTGCAAGATTCGACCACTGACTTCCACACTGCTGAGCCTCTAAGGGCAGGAATATTGCTCTGCTTGCGCTGCGTGTGCGCAGGTCCCCGGATGCTGTTGCCCTCGCCTCTCCTTCTCGCGGCGTCCTCCACCCCTTGTCTCACTGAGGCGGCTGCCATCTCGGAAGGGTTGAGAAAGGACATGTCCTTAGAAGGAGCTAGCATGTCACGCCGGATACCAGTGTCTTTGAGTCCCATACATTATGCAAACGATTGCGCGCACCATACATGTGCTATGTTCACATCACACTCTGCTCAAATGACAGAAATCTGAAGTTGGATTGAGAAAGAAACTTCTGATTTGGTGGGGGGCAATCCATCCACATGGTGCAAGGCTCAAATAGATGACCAAACATAGCCTGCAGTGCTACCCGAACAGGAATCCAATTCAACCAAAAAAGAAAGCGTCTCTCAATGCATGCAACGGTCACTCTGCGAGTGAGCCACACATAGTGCAAAGGTGACATCTTAATGCATTCAGTTACTCGAACATCAGCGCTGGTCAAAATGGAGCGGCAATCTTACCCATGCCTGGATTCCTCGAATATCCTTGCAAACATCAAGGACATCAAGGAGGGTGTCAGCTAGCTCTATGGGTGCTGCCCAGTGTCGGGGTACTGATCCACCAGTGGATTCAGGTTCTTGTTCACTGCGGGTTCATCGACGCCACCTGCAGGGTCTACGTTACATGGCAAGCCAAATTCTCATGGCGTGATTTGATTGAAGTCTCCGAAGATCAAACGTATGATGTCTTGTACAAGTCAGCGTGCAATAGCGAGCAAATTCTGGGAGACGTCAGATTGTAAGCCCAGCAATGTACTATTCGAACAACCGGCCTAATACTTTCAATCGGCCACCAAACCTGCTGGGAGAAATGGACCACCTCCCCCATCACACACACTGGCCCGCAACAAATGGGGAAGCCCCTTTGTGCTTGAAGCCAACCCCCAAAAAAGGTTCCCAAAAGACACGCTTGGAGAGCCGAACAACTACGATAGCAGTGTGGGCGTTGTACCCGTTACAGCCAGCGCCCGGGAATTCGCGCAAACCGCTGAGAAGAACAACTTGTCCGCAAAAAAGGCGCAAACCACCTGCAAAAAGCTGCCAAACACCCGCAATGAAGAGCAAACTAAATCCAAACAGCCTTTGTGGGAGTAGGATTCTGCTGAGGTACTGACCCCTCTCCGTTGCGTATTTCCTAGCCTTTCCAAACAACTCGCGCAAAAGCATTCCCCAAAAAAAACGCACACACACACACACTCTCACTTATCCCCTGAGTGCGTTTCCCGTTGCGCGGCGCCTGGCTGCTCATCCTGCCACGTCGCCAGGTGGCACCTCCTGAGATTCGCAGATTCGCTGAGGCTCATCGCTCCCGTCGCGCGCAAAAGACCGCGGGATCCGGCACGTTTGCTTCGTATGGGGAATGGCAATGCCCTGGCAGCTGCTCGTCCAGTTAACCAAAGGTATATCCCGGCTTCGGTTGGCTTCCGGCCTCCTGTCAGCTTGAAAGCTGCAAAATGTCGCGTCTCACAGACTTTGTGTGATATATGTACTGGTTGCGCTTCCAGCTGCCGGAGGTGTAGAAACAGTGCCATGGGTTCATACTCGAGTGCGCTTGGTCAGCCCTAAGCTCCTTGTCTTGACGGCTTGAGACTTCAAATTCAAGACTGCAGCAACAATGTCACGGAGAAGACAATGGAAGCCGGGCTCGCAAGAGACATCATGAAGACACACACACACACACGCAAACACACACGCACGCACGCACGCACGCACTCTTACGCACGCACGCACGCACGCACGCACACAACACACACGCACACGAACTCTGAACTGAATATCACAACAAAAACACAAACATGCAAATGAACGCCAGGTTTCAGGGAGAAAAACTCCGGCTGATCTCGTCAATATCCGTCAGAGGCACCAGTTGATGCCTGAAATTTAAGGATCGCCGCCGGCCAAGAACAAACAGTCTCCACACGCGGAAAGTTGTCAAATCTCATCTTTCTATTGCCATGTTGATACCCTTCCAGCACACGAAATGAACAAAACTCCTCGTGTGTGACATCGGGAGTCCTTGAAGGCAAATCCTCATTGGGCTTGTCAAGAACATGTACTCAGTATTGATAACCATGGGCGAACATTGAAACCAATCATCTCTGAACGATAACATGATGTAACTTGCCTAGGCGCTCTTAAAAGCAAGTTTGGCACTGGTACATGATACATAAGAACCAAACCGAAACCAGTGCCATCCATTTTCAGGCAAACTGACTCATAAAGAACACCTACAGTATGAGATAACCACGACAGCAAAGCAGTCAAGGCCTTTTTTCGCCAACCGCTCGCGCACCTCGCGGCACGTGAAAACGGAGGTCTGTGGCCCAAACGGCCAGCCGTCCAGGCTCGTGAAGGAAGCATCCCGACCGAGGAATAGGCTTCGAATAGGAATCTTCGGAATATAAATCATTCTTTGAGGTGCTCAGAATATATTTGAGGTGCCACTTTGCGGGTGATTCTTTGACGCATTCTTTGGCGAGCCTTCGCAGCGGATGTTCCTTGCGAACGCGGACCCGTCACTGTCTGTGCCTTGAAAAAATTGGCCTGGACGGCCAGCTCGAGCTTTGCGAGCGGAGAAGCCTGGCAATGGCAAAGCTCAATGGGAACCCAGCAGCAGAACCCCTGGTTGATTTTGATTGTGGGGTGCCCCATTTCAGCGGGCCAAAAGGTGTTGTTGTAACCACAAGGGGGAGTAGACAAAGCACAATTGGCATTTTGGGGTTGCAAACAGCCTGGATGTAGCCTTGAAGATTCCATGCGGGACAGTGACCAGGCCACGTGCGGGCGGCTTCCCACGTCTCCCGTCCATGCCTGACTTTGCTTCACGCCAGGTAGGTCACATCATCGTAGGGGTGGCCTTCATTCGAGGCATCACAACTTGGCCATCTCTAACCACTAAAAGTCACTTCTGTTTGGATGTTGGTACAGCATGGACTGACATCACTTTTGGTTCAGGGGGCAACGGTCTTGAGGGCAAGTCTTGATGAACGAAAGGGCCTGTGCACTTCCAAAGCGTGTGTTTTGGGAGGGATGTTTGCAGGCGGAAGGCAGTGAGTGGCCCTGGAACTTACCATGTGTGGATGACTTGCTGTCTATCCAGGGAGTCCATGGTAATTTCTGCTTGTTGGTGAAACATGGTCAAATGTCATGTGTTGTCAGAGTTAGCAGGCTTACGTCTTTCTTCAAGGACACCAGTCTCGATTAAAAAAAACAAAAAAACAACAACATCCGGATACCACGTCCTTTGGGATGGTGCCCTGTTTTGCATGTGCTTTCGTACAGGAATAAGAAGCGGAATGCCCATTTGTTGGGCTTCTTGCCCTTTTGGAGACTGCTTGCGATTTCCCCTGCATGTAAACCCCTAGCAAGTCCATGAATCGCCCCCCTTTTTGAGTCTCTTTTGGGATAACCAACAAATACCCTGACCCCTATAAAGGTGTTTTGGAGGGAACGACTGCTACTTGCTGCCGTGTCTCGGTACAAAGGCTGCTTCAAGCGACGCTGGTCCAGAAAGTGGCCCACAAGGCCCAGCGTCCTGCGATCAAACAGCACTCGACAGAGCCCTGCAACAGCCTCGGAAACTTGTCGTGACCGTCAACCGTCAATAGGTCGCCGGATGTCGCCGGGCATATCTGAGTCCTTCTTTGAGGCAGCTTGCTAAGACTGTGACTGTTGTTCTCCCTTCCCCCGCATGCGCAAGAAAAACACTTTCAGACAATTAGCCCCAATTGCCATGATCAAAGTTTAGCAGGACCCTATGCGACAGCACGCCATGAATTTTGTTGCCCCGCTGACTCGAGCCTCGAGGCCACGAAGAGGCCGTTGAGCACCCCGTTCTGAACCAGCTCGTCAGCCTCGCTCCTGACGTGTGAGCGAGGTGCATACTCTCCTGCAAACAAAATTGACACGGAACCCAGGCAATGGGTGGTTTTGCGTTTGGTTCCCTTAAAAAAACCGGGCTCCCCCTTCCAAGACAATCACACTCGCACAACACATGGACACCAAACAATTTAGATTCCTCTGCTCTGAACATGAGGGATTGTTGATTCCCATGTTCATGTGCAGCTGGTGCATTCCTTGTGTCCCCAACATGGGAACTTGGCGAACCCCCCATTCAATGATTAAACTCATGGTGTGTTCAGAATGTTATCCCCCACAAATGACTGTGAATATCAACTCTTGCTCACATGCCTGCGACGAGGGTGAGGGTGGGTCCCCAAGTGGAGAATGGTCGTTCCCCTCGCACCTGGAGAACTCTCCACAACCACGGAGCAGGTCTACAAAGCACACTGCGATGCAGCCGTCCACGTTGAGGATGAGGTTGGCCTCTCGGGAGCGGCTTTTGCACAGCTTAGGAAGCAAGCTTATTGACACATCGGCACAAATGGTCCCATTTGTAACCAAGTTTGTACGGCGCTTTAGCCTCCTGAAGTGTTGCGGGAGTGTTCCTCTTGTGTAAGCCACAAATCGCGTCAACATACTATTTGAGAGGGCCCGTAAAGTGCCTTCGTCTCGCGAGGGGCCACAAGGCACACACTGACCGTGGCGGGATACGTACTGTTTTTTTTTGGTTTAAACAAAATCTGTTCAGCGCCCTTGTTTTGAATACGGAGTACCCGTATGTTTGTTTGACCCGGGTGACTCCTTGCTGTGGTTCTGTGGAGGAACTCCTGCGCCAGGTGGTAGCTTACCCCAGTATTCACAAGCTTCATCCATCCCTGCAGGATGTTGTCCATCCACAGCATCACAGGGCTTGGATTGGCTTGGAGGTTAGAGGATTACGTAACGTTTGCCGCAAGAACCACGGGTCTAATCCCCAAAAGCACCAATCCAAACCAGCACTAAAGGGTCACGTGAATGTTTCCTCTTTGATCATGGAGAAAACAGGCCCGAGGATTCCCGCAACAATTTGCTGAGCGGGCCTTCCCCCTGAGCAAAAGAACGTGTCGATTTGGAGGTTCAATGGAAACTCCAATGGTGTCCGGGGAACTTCGCCCTTGTGTGGTCTCAAGGCTGCAAAACATGGAAACTGTCATTCAGATTCAGGTCTGACTTCCCCAACCCAGAGTCGTTCCTCCAGTTGGTTTCCATGACTCACGCAGCCGCGCCTTCGCTGGCAATCCCTTCGCTTAGGGCGGCAAGGTGACACGGGGACTGGGCCAGGCGGGAAAGCGTGGTCCACCAAAACATTTCGTAAGGATGGTTTAGAAGGTACCGCTCAAAACATGAGCTCTGATCGTTGAGGGATACCATTTCAACTTCACTTTGTGGGAACCCATTTTGACACGTCGACATGATTTGAATGGGGATTTAATGGGATTTATGTCCACCAACTATGTGCAAGGGTTCCCCCATTTAGAATTCATATGTGCACACATACCAGTATACTTCCCTCACT